GAGATGATTTTAAGGCTCCCTGCCACCCAAATCATCTGGAATTCTGTGACGAATTCAAACACATCCCTCCCCAAACCCACCCCAAGCTGCATTTTTTTTCACTGTGGATCAAATTCCCAGCTCCATCCCAACACCCAAACTTCTCCTGACCCGGGAATATTTCCCCACCTCCCTCAGCCAGCCCTGTGCATGGCAAGGAGGTAAAAAGGAGCTGATTTTCCCCATTTCCCCCCCAGCTGAACCACTCCCTGCCCATGAAGATCGTGGTGTACCGGGACGGGGTGTCCGACCCCCAGCTGGACACAGTGCTCAAGTACGAGGTGCCCCAGCTCCAGAAGAGCTTCCACACCTTCCAAAATTACCAGCCCAGCCTCGTGGTTGTGGTTGTCCAGAAGCAGCTGAGCGCCAACTTCTACTGCCTGACAGGAGAGGAGTTTGTGTCCCCTCCCCTGGGCACCGTCATCGACCACGGCGTCACCAGCTCGGGCCGGTGAGAGGCACAGCTGGGCTGGGGGACAAAACACCCTGGGGAGGGATAAAAAACACCCCCAGGGGCAAAAAATTAACCTGGCTGTAAAAAAAATGGAGATGGAAATGCCCCGGAGTGGGAAAAAATCAACCCTCGGTGTGAAAAAATGGATGTAAGAGCAGCCCAAGGTGCAAAAAGAAAATGGTTGTAAAAATAGCCCAGGGTGCAAAAAGAACCTCAGGGTGCAAAAAAAATTCTCAGGGTGACAAAGAAATTGTAAAAATAGCCCAAGGTGTTGGGAAAAATCCAGCCCAAGGTGTTAATGGTGTGTAAAGGCCCCCCAGTTTGGAAAACAATGATTGTAAAAATACCATCAGGTATTTTGTCATTTATTGTTTTTACAAAATAAAACACTCAGGGGTGTAAAAGCACCTTGAGTGCAAAAAAAAAAAAAAAAAAGGTTCTAAATGGTTTATTTATTTTTTTGCACCCCAGAGCACAAAAAAAACAACCCAGAGTGAAAGAAAAATGGTGGTAAAAACACCCCAAGGTGCAAAAAAATCCCTGTGGAGAGCAAAAATTAAACCCTTGTGGTTCAAACCACCATTCTGGGGTGCAAAAACCAGCTCAGTCTGGGCTTCAGAGCACCCTGAGGTGCAAAAATTCTCATTTTGGGGTGGAAAAAAAATGAGAATTGGGGTTTGTTTTGCCCTCACAGGCAGGATTTCTTCCTGCTGGCCCATCACTCCCGGCAGGGCTGCAGCATCCCCACGCGCTACATCTGCGTGTGGAACACGGCCAACCTCAGCTCCGAGCACCTCCAGAGGTAAGGGGGGCCCTGGGACCCCAAAATCCTGCCTGGGGAATGGGGGAGACCCTCAGAATCGTCCAGGGGAAATGCAGGAATCCCCGAGTTCCTGAGATCCTGCAGCGACCCAAAATATTCCAGGGGAAAGGGGAGGGAGCCTCGAAATCATCCAGGGGGAATGCAGGAATCCCAGAGTTCCTGAGATCCTGCAGCCCCCCAAAATCCTCTTTGGGGAGTGGGAGGGACCCTCAAAATCATCCAGAGGAAATGCAAGAATCCCAGAGTTCCTGAATATCCCACAGCCCCCCAAAATCCTCCCTGGAGAAGGGGAGAGACCAGCAAAATCATCCAGGGGAAATGCAGGAATCACAGAGTTCCTGAGATCCTGCAGCAACCCAAAATATTCCAGAGGAAAGGGGAGGGACCCTCGAAATCATCCAGGGGGAATGTAGGAGTCCCAGAGCCCCCAATATACTTCAGCCCCCCAAAATCCTTCCTGGGGAGTGGGAGAGACCCTCAGAATCATCCAGGGGAAATGCAGGAATCCTGGAGTTCCTGAGATCCTGCAGCCCAAAATATTCCAGAGGGAAGGACTGGGATTTCTGCAGCTGCCCAAGATTCCAGAGCCCCCCCAGTTCCCTGGGCAGGGTTCTTACAGCCCCCCAAAATCCTCCCTTGGGAGTGGGAGAGACCCTCCAAAAGCCATTTCTCCCTGTCCCAAAGACAGGGACAGCTGGGAGCAGGTTCTGGGAGAGATCCATCCCCTTTCCTGGGAATCCCAAATCCCATTTTTCCCTGTCCATGGGACAGGGACACCTGGGAGCAGAGAGATCTGCACCTGGATCCATCCCCTTTTCCAGGAATCCCCAATCCCATTTGTGGGACAGCTGGGAGCTGGTTCTGGAAGGGATCCATCCCTGGCTCCATCCCCTTGTTCCAGAAGGGATCTGGACCTGGCTCCATCCCCTTTTCCAGGAATCCCAAATCCCATTTCTCCCTCTTCCAGTGGGGATCTGGATCCGGCTCCATCCCCTTTTCTAGGAATCCCAGATCCCATTTCTCCCTGTTCCAGGAGGGATCTGGACCTGGAATCCCACATCCCAGTTCTCTCCCTGTCCCGAGGACAGGGAACAGCTGAGAGCAGGTTCCAGGAGGGATCTGCACCTGGATCCCCTTTTCCAGGAATCCCAAATCCCAATTCCCACCCTGTCCCAAGGACAGGGGACAGCTGGGAGCTGGTTCTGGGAGGGATCCATCCCTTTTCCAGGAATCCCAAATCCCAATTCCCTCCCTGTCCCCAGGCTGACCTTCAAGCTGTGTCACCTGTACTGGAACTGGCCGGGCACCGTCCGTGTCCCTGCCCCCTGCAAGTACGCCCACAAGCTGGCATTCCTGGTGGGCCAGGTCCTGCACCACGAGCCCAGCGCCCATCTCTGCGAGCAGCTCTTCTTCCTTTAACCTGCCAGGACCCAGGAATCCGGGATTGCACCGGGAAATCCGGGATTGCACCTGGAATTCTGCTCCCCGCCCGCTGCCGTTTGCCCCCCTGCCAAGGGGGATCTGCCTCAATTCCCAGTTCTGGTGTTAATTTATTCTTTGTTTGTTGCTTTAGGGGATGCTGGGGATTGCAGCAGCATCCCCAGGGCTGTGGGGTTTTCATTTGGGAATTCTCCCCGTGGGGATGAACCCAAAGGAATATCCTGCTGCTTTCCAGCCCTCCCAATAAAGGGGCTTGAGTTAATGAGCCCCAAAGTGCTGCTGCTCCCACAGCTCATCCCTGTGCAGGTGCTGGATGAAAATCCCAAAGATTTCAGGGTTTTTTTCCCCCCCAGTTTCTTGCATTTCCATGCAGGTTTAAAGTTTTGGGTTTTTTTCCTGGGCTTTTCCAAGCTGCTGTTGAACAAAGCAGCTCCAGTTTGGCCGGTTCTCCTGTCCTTGAGGAGTCACTGGTTTTCCAAGGAGAATTCTTTGTGGATTCAGGTCGTTACCCCAGGGAAAGGTTGGAGTTTTCACCTATTTTAGGTGCTTTTTTTGCCTTACTCAAGTTGCAATCCCCTCATTTTTCTCTTGGCTGTAACCAGTTTTTTGGTTCTTTCCAATAAAATCGTTGCTGGCAGCTGCTCCCTGGTGGATTTTGGGGGGGGGGTGCTGGTGGCCCCATCCTGCCCCTCATTGCCAGGGGCTCCCAGGATGGAGCAGGGACACTCAGGGGACACCAGGGCTGTCACCTTGTGCCCCGGGTTAATCATTTATCCCTGTTTATTTGCCAATCCCGGCGGACTTTGGCAGCATGGCCCAGCCTGGGGTGGGATTTAGGAACAAATCTTGGTCCTGGGGGTGCTGGGCTGGGGTTTTGGGGGTCCCCCAGCTCTGCCTGACCCCGTCCAGCAGCATTTTCTATCCCAGCTCTGCCTGTTCCTTATCCCTGACAGCTCCTTGGCACAGGCAGAGGAGCCAGGCTGGCTCTGGCTGCCAGGATTTGTCCCTCCCTGGACCCCCCTGGGCTTTTCCAGGGGGTCCTTGGGGTCCCCCAGCCCCACCCGAGGGGTTGAGGGGTGGTCAGTGGTCCCAGGGGTGTTTGGAGGGTCCTTGGGGTGCCCTGTGCCCCTAAAGGGTGTTTGGGGAGGTGCCCCCAGGGGGGTGTTGGGGGATCCTGGAGCGGTCCTGGGGGTCTTGGTGCCCTCAGGGTGGGTGTTCAGTGGGTTCCGTGGGGTCCCAGTACCCACGGGTGGGTTTTTGGGGGGTCTTGGTGCCCCAGGGTGGGTGTTCAGTGGGTTCCGTGGGGTCCCAGTACCCACGGGTGGGGTTTTGGGGGGTCTTTGGGGCAGTCTGGGGTGTCCCAGGTGGGATTTTGGGTGTTTCAGGTGGGATTTTTGGGGGTCTCGGTGCTCCTGGGGTGAGTGTTTGGGGCTCTTTGGGGGTCCCAGTGGCCCGGGAGGGATGTTGGGGCAGCTTGGGGTTCCCAAGTGGGATTATTTAAGGGGTCCCAGATGGGATTTTGGGGGTTCCGGGTGGGATTTTTTAGGGGGTCCCGGGTGAGATTTTTGGGTTCCCGGATGGGGTTTTTGGGGGGTCCCAGACAGGGTTTTGGGGCTCCCCGGGTGGGATTTTTCAGGGGTTCTGGGTAAGATTTTTGGGGGTTCTTGAATGGGATTTTTAGGGGGTCCCGGGTGAGATTTTTGAGGGTCCTGGGTGAGATTTTTTAGGGGGTTCAGGGTGAGATTTTTGGGGGTTCCCGAGTTGGATTTTTAGGGGGTCCCAGGTGAGATTTTTGGGGGCTCCCGGGTGGGATTTTTGGGGGGTCCCGGATGGGATTTTGGGGGGTCCTGGGTGGGGTTTTGGGGGGTTCCGGGGGAGGT